TGTGTGTGTGTGTCGGGGTGGGGGTGGGGGGTGGTGTTATACACGTTTAGCTGATAGTCAGCCATGCCACAAGAAAATACAGTTGCAAAACTTACAATTCTTGGTTTTCTCTTGTTAACAAGTGAAAAACTTTATGCAAGGAGCATTTACAGAACATCCAACTCATAAGCAAGATTCAGGCCAGTAAATCAATATCCAAGGGGCTCTTGGAGATAAGAGCAATGCCTAGCGTATGCAAATGCATGAGCTGCCTGGGAAAAAAATTGTTACTGAACAGATAAACAACTAAGAACATGTCTTTAGGAACATATGGTGGCCAGCCACTTTTGTAGCTGTAACCTGCTAATTCTACTATACATGGACCTTGGGATTTATCCAGATTTCATGTGAGTATAAGTTTATAATTAAACCTGGCCTAGATTTCTTACAAAATAGGACGTTAGTTTAAGCATAGAGTTGCTACATCCCAAATTCCCAACCTTGGTGCAACTCGCGATATGTTATCAAAGTGTTGCACTGTAATATAAGCTGCAAAATAGTCTTAACATGCAAATTCTGATCTGCCCGAGGCTGAGAGGCCTGCTTTTGTAGAATTCCAATTGGAACTTGAATCATGCTCGACTGTACAAGTACCTGGAGAAAATTCAACATAGAAACAAAATTCAGACCAGTATACCTTCATGAGTGTATATATCATGACTGTACAAGTACCTGGAGAAAATTCAACATAGAAACAAAATTCAGACCATCTTTGTTTATATCATGCATTTTCTTTTAAAAATATTTTAAAAGGTTAGGTAAAGGCATTGTTTATTCTTTTTATTATAACTAACAGCGGTAAGGTAAGAGATGAACTGCAGTGCTGTATTCTATAGTATATTATTATTAGCAAGATATATATTAGTCCCAAATATATTTATTTTTACCTTACTATGGTTGGGATGATGGCGCAGTGGAGGTTGGTGCTGCCACTGCATTGCCATTGCTTGTGCCCAGGTCCATTCCTGCTATGACGCTGTGTTGGTAATTGAAAGAGATTGTCATTGGAAGAAGTCGCATTAACATGCGATGCGAATTGGTTGCATTTAGTTTCATCCAAGCAGGGCATGAACAATGTGCACAAAGACTGGTTCTACTTGGCTGTGAATATGGAGGCATGGAAGGGGATGACATTGGCTGTGAATATGGAGGCATGGAAGGGGATGATATTTGCGTTGGAGATGAGCTAGGAGCAAATGATGGAACGAGGGCTTGCAGTCGCGGAGCCAGCTTGAGATCCTTGATTCTACCAAAAACCGATGGGTCTAGGCCAAGGTTCATTGAACTTGATTCTGTGATGATTTCAGCTAGCTGTTTCAGCCTCCCCATTTCTTCGTAAACGCCGCGGTCATCTGGGGAGAGGGAAACTTGGACTATAACTGGTGGGGCAATCGTTGAGCCATTCTTATTTGTCAGATCTATGTATATGTCCTGCATGTAGATAGCATGTTGTCACTTTATGTCAAGATCTTCTAGGAAAGATGTTAATCA